ATCTTTATTGTTGCCACTGCCATCGTTATCATTATTCCTATTGTATAGGTAAGGAAACTGAGACCCAGAAGGGAGAAATGACTTGGGCCAGGCCTCACAGGAAGTGTGACTGGCATTCCCACAAAGGAAGGTGGCTTACTGTCAGTAGGAAAGAGCAGAAGAAGGATGGGACCTTTGTTCATGCTGTTCCCTCTGTGTGGAATGCCATTCCCTGCATTGTCAACCAGGTGAACTCCTGGCTATCCTCCAAAACTCAGCTCATCCCCTTCTGGGTGTCTTTCTGATATGCTACACCCCTATAGGATACAGCCAGATTCCAGCAGTTTCTTGCATGAGACCAACCTGCCCAGACTTCGTGCATAGACAGGGAACCGAAATCTCTGAGAGGGAAGGACCTGCCTGAACTCATGGAGAGACTCAGACCAGAGACTGGCTCCCAAGGATTACCCTGGCTGCCTGCCGGTGAGCTCACCTCATGCCCTGGAGGTGGCCCGGGACTGGGGTTGCAGGGTGGGAAGCTCTGACCTGAGCCTGCTGTCACTGGATGTCTCATCCAATTAGGAGACAAATGAGGAATTCCCACTGCCCACCTGTATTTTTCAGGTGGCCCTAACATAGTGCAGTCCCACCCCTGACTTCAAAGGTCCTAGGATACCTTCAGGATACCTTCAGGCCCTCTTGCTGCTGCCTGCAATGCTGTCCCTTTCCCAGAACTCTGGCCATGGCATTTCCAGTGCCACTCCCCAGGCCCAGCCTGAGACCCAGGTGTGCCTCCAGCTGGCCACATGGGGGCCAGGGTGCAGCCCTGCAGGAATGGGGTCCTGAGGACTGATTCGTGGGTGACGCTCTGGGAGGCTGGGAAGGGCCAAGAGCCTCCCTCCAGTTTTGGGTCGAGGGTCACAGAAAGCCTGACAGGGGCTTGCTCAGTCACACTGGGCAGATTCCTCCCAGCCCTTGAGGTGGTGACTTTAGGCAGCACCCACCCCAGGGGGTGGTCCTAACAGAGACTGGGCTCCTGGGGGCTCACCCTGGCTCTGCCTCATACCTTGCCTGCCACATAGAGGTCCCCTCAGGAGGCGGGGGCCAGGCAGGGGTGATAGGACTCTGACCACCCACTCAACTTTGCTGCTCTGAGGCCCCTGTGGTGCTTCTAAGTCTGCTTGGAGGGCTGCCTGGTCTCCTAAGAGGCCTGGGGGCCCAATTCCCAGTCACTGCTTATCTCATCCAAGGGGAGCGATGGCCTGGCTCAGAGTCTTCACTTGCTTGGGGCTCTGAATGGTGTTGGGGTATGATGGGACCTGGAGACCAGGGAGAAAATGGCCTGGATGCTGACCCTCCATGGTGGGGGTAGGCTCGACACCTCAAGCCCTTTACCCTGCCAGCTTCACTATACCTGGAGACCGAGTCAGCGGCAGGTGAGGCCTGGAGTCTGGTCAGGGGGAGGCCTGTGCACACGGACCAGCCATAGCATCCGGAGTGCAGGCCCGAGGATGGAGGGGGCTTGTGTGGCATCCGACCAAGAGCAGCTCTGGATCCTGTCATCTCTCTTACAACAGTCTGAAGCTGTTACCCTGCAAGACCCCCTCCCTCTGGCCATCCCTTGCTGGCCTTGCCGCCCATTAGAACCCCAGTCCCTCCACTTACATCAGCCTCAGATCTCTCAACTCCAGCAAAGTGCGTTCTAGACATGAGGGCACGTTCTGGAGGGGGAAGGACAACTCGGAGGCCAGTGGAGTTAGCTACGAGTCCGGCTCTGTCATCTCTGTGTGTGTGGCCTCAGGCAAGGCACCCTCCCCTCTGATCCTCTGATTCTCAGTGTCCTCATCTGTAGAATGGAGGTCCACTCAGGACCCTGACGGACCATTCAGGACCCCAGAGGACTGTCCAGACGCCTGAGGGAGACGAGGGATGTGAGTAAACCTGACACAGAGGCAAGCTTAGCGAGTGTCCTCGTAGTGATGCCTGGCCAGCTGGCTGCCTTGTGCTCTGAGCCTGGTCGAAACTGTAGTCAAGGGGGGCCATCTGATTCAAAGGACAGTGTGGTTGTGGAGCCTGTGTCCGTATCTAGGCCAGAGAGCATTTACTGAGCCCTTGCTGTGTGTCAGGCACCATGCTAGGCACTTTACAGCTAATTATCATTCAGGGCTCACAGCAGATCTATGAAAGGGGACATGATCATTGCCCCCATTTCATAGATGGAAAAATTAAGAAACAAAGAAGCTAAATAATTTACACAAAGATACACACTCAGTAAATTGCAGAACTGAACTGGAACCCTATTAGGGTGTGTGGCTCTGAGTGTGTGGGACTGGCCACGTGGGTGAGTAACTAAGTTTGGTGCTGGGTATACACATGCACGTCTGTGTCTACTGGAGCGGCTGCTGGTACCTCGTCCAGGTGGCTGGGTCCAGATGTGCGCATCTGACCCCTGGTCACCCCTGGTGCACACACATGCTGCTCACATGGACCTTCCTGTGACCCCGCACAGGGAGGCTCCCTGGGCCCACCAGCCCTTCCCTGCAGGACCTGGCCTGTCTGAGTTTGTGGGTTCCCCCTGGCTTGCTCCCCTCAGCTCTGTGTAGCTGCTGGATCCTTAGGGCAGAGCCATCAGTCAGTCACAGATGACCTGGCAGGCCGGGGAGGGGTGTTCCACGATCAATGGCCCAGGGAAGAGAGACCAAAAAGACAGGAGGACTGAAATCCCAGCAGCGCACCCACCTTGTATGAGCGCTCCCCCTGAGTGACTGGGGTGGGGCCGGGCCATCCCCCTCCCTCCCTGTGTGGAAAAAACTCTAGAAGCTGGGGTTGGGGGGATGAGAGGGAGGGAAAGATGGCAGTGGGACAGGCTCTGAGGCCCACGCTCCAGAGCCCTCTGGCAATGGTGGCCCCAAAGCTGGTGATGGTTCCCCCCACCCCACGGCTCCCAGGTTTGGTGCACCCTCAGGCCTGGAGGAAGAGGCCTCTATACATCCAGCATGGTCAGATCTGGGCCCTTGATTCCCAGCCTGGGCTTGCTTGCCTCCAGGCAGCCCCTGGGGAATCTGCCTTCCCCTCACCTCTCTGTCCATCAGTCAGCAGGTCTATCCGGCTACTCTAAATCTAGAGCCAACCAGTGCCTTTCTACCTAGCTGGAAGCCCACGCTGGTCCCCTCCCTGCTCTCCCTGTCCCCACTCTCACCACCACCCCCAACCAGTTCATGTCACCTGCTGGTTAAAACCTTCCCAAGGCCCTCCATTACCCTCAAGCACACACCCGCATTGCAACCCAAAAGGCCCCTCAGAGTCTGGTCTTTGCTGACCTCTCCAGCCTTTAGAACTGTTTCCTCAGTACATTTCAACCTCCAGGCCTTTGTGTCTGCTGTTCCCTCTGCCAGGGACACCCTTTCCCGCTGCTCCCCATCCCTCGAGTCCGCTGCTCTGGCCAGCACCCTGGAGTAATCTCTGCTTGTCCTTCAGTCTCAGCTTAGATGTCCTTCCTTCCTTCCCATGTCCCCCGGGTCAGGGCTGGCCTGTGCCTCTGTGTACCTACGGTCCTCTGTGTCCCCAGTGGCATGTGGTGACTGGGGCTTGTTTACCCGTCGGGCTTTCCACTCGCTTCTGGGGACAAACTTCCCTGCTGGAGAGAAGGGGAAGGGAACGGGAGGCCTTCAATGCCAGGTGAAGAACAGGGACTTGCCCTAAGGGTGGCAAGGAACCACAGGGAACTTTTGAGCAGGGGAGTGGCATGACTCAGGGCCCATTTGGCTTTATGTCTTTCCTTCCTGCCCCAAATGGACTTCCCTGAACAGCACTGGTGCCAACTGCAAGTGCTTTTCATGTAACTCTCAGCAGCCAGGAACTTAGTCTGACTGAGGAAGGGTATTTGTGGGATTGGACATGTAGGATGAGAGAGTGGGGGCAGGGAAAGTCCTTGAGATATGGATTAGAATCCAGATGTTTTGAGGGAATGGGACAATGATCCTCAAAAATAGAAATGTTTGCCCCCCCCCCAAAAAAACCTCTGGTTCCTTTTCACCTGTTGTAGCCTGAGTGGGTAGGCCTCTTCTTTTCTCTGTGACAAAAGCCTGACTGATGCACTAGTCCAGACACCCTCCCCCGACTGTTCTTCTGTGTCCTGGTAGGTACTGTGGGGGCTGTGCTGAGCTCCCCTAGAAGTTGGTCTCCCCAAGCTGGGAGGGGAGGGAGGAGCCCAGCCAGGCCATAAAGTATTGAAGCACTAGGGCTGGGAAACTCACATCTCATATGCTAAGAGTCAGGGCTCTGGCCTAGCTGGATTCTGTTTTGTCTTGTGCAGGAGACAGGTGTGGGCAGCATGGAGAAAGCGACCTCCCTCAGCCTGAGTCAGGCTTTGGGGGTGATTACTGCTTGGGAGGCTACGATCCGTTCTAGGCTGGATCCCCTGAGGTCTCAGGACTCCCCTCTACTCCAGGACTGCCTTGTCCATCCACCCTCCTGGCTAAGGAGGACATCTGTGCCAGACTGAGCATAGGTTTGGTGGCTGAAGAGCCTGGGTTCATGTCCAGCAGCTGTGGTTCCCCGGCTCTCTGTCTTTTACTTACTCATCAAACATCCCTGACTCCGGGTCCTGCCTAACCCTTGTGTGGGAGACGCAGAGTAGGGTCAGGCTGACTGCCACTCTCAGAGAGGTGAAAGAGACACAGACAAAGACAGTGCTAGCCTGGAGTGGGCTATGCTGTAATGGACACAGACTCAGGCCCAGAGAAGGCAGGGAAGGCTTCTTGGAGGAGGGGGGTCCCCTGGGGAGCTTGAAGAATGAGCTGGGACTGCCCATGAAGCAAGGGAGAAAGGCATTTCAGGAAGAGGGAGGAGTTTGTACAAAGGCCCCTGCAGAAGGAAGCAGGTGGCATTTCAACAGAGCACAGTGCCATTCATAGAGGGGCTGGTTCCTTAAGGGACACGTCTATACATCAGCTTGGTTTAAGTTAAAGTGTCTTAGCAGCGGGAGAAAGAAGCTGCTTTGCTGGGACTCTGACCCCCCCTCAGAGCTCCTCCTGAGCCTTCCGCATCTGCCGCCACTGGCCAATCTTGGCCGGAAGCCTCTCTGCCCAGAACTGCATTTGGGCTTCTCTCAGCTTCTGGCCAATTCGTGGTGTCAGGCTGATTTCCAGGTATTGCTCCAACTGGTTGAAGGGGGGCCACGGAGGCAGCCCCTCACCATTGGGGTCCCTGGGTGGGAGGAATGAATGAAGGCTAAGGCCTCCCGTGTTGTCCCCTGGGGGAAGAACTGAGTCATCGAGGCCCAAAGCCACATGTGCCGCTTGTCACTCACCCTGTCCGGGCAAACTGCGTCCACTGAGCCATCATGGTGAGACTCAGCTGCTTCTCCTCCTCTGTAGCTTCTGGAAAGGCTAGGGAAGGAACAGTCAGGTGGGTCCTGGAGAGAACCCAAGGGTTCCTTGCACTGACTGGAGACACGTGTGCCTACAAGCCCCAGCTTAGCCCGTTGGAGCCTGCAGCCCAAGGATCGCCTGTCTATGTGTCCTCACCCAGCAGGGAGCTCTCGTCCGTGAGGAAAGGACCCCCGAACATGAAGGCTATCTCAGCCCCATGGTCAGCCCTCACCCACTCCGGCTTGATCTTCGTGAAAGAACTGGGTCGATGCTGGAACTCATAGAAAAAGATGGGGACTCCAGAATCTGTGGAAAGAGGGCTGCCTCAGGGTTAGGTATCGTCAGCCTGATCGGGTCCTGCCTTTGGCAGGCCCGGCTTGTAGTAACACCAATCCCAGTAATGATACTGATGATGACAATGTCATTATCAGCAAGCATTTCCTGAGGACTTGCTGGCTGCCACACACCATTCCACGTGCTTTCTGTGTCACCACTCATTTCACCCTCCTGACAACAGAATTAGAGTCTGTTACTGTTGCCATTTTACAAATGAGGAAACTGAGGTACAGAGGGGATAGGCATCTTGCTCAAGGTCACAAAGATAGGAGCTTGGAGTTGTTTGAGGGCTATGTCAGGGACTAGCCACCAGGCTTGGAGGAAGCAAGACTTTTCTCCCAGGAGAAGTACTGAACGTGGGAAAAATCACTCATGAGTCAAATGAATCCCTGAGAATTGGTGATGAGCCCAGCTGGGTGACCTTTGATGAGTCACTGCACCTCTCTGAGCCTTGGTTTACTCGCCCGCAGAGTGACCTGCCAGAGTCCCATCTGCATCCCAGAGAGGAAGCGGGGAATGGAGGCAGCGGCAGGGTGTGGGCCATGTCGCCTGTGATAACCCAGCTCCTGGTCCAAAATGGAAAGGGTGGGGCAGGTGACCAGGGATAGACTCACCTCGGAGGTTTCTAGAGAAATTCAAGGAGGGTAAGATAATGGTGATGTCAGCCAGAATGTCCTGGAAGGCGTTGCGTTTGGCTTCTGTGTCGGAACTGCTGCCTAGGTATTCATCTATGATGCTGGGCATCACCTCAGGGGGCACATCCTGGGGCAGGAGGCCAGACTCAGTCCCACTCAGGTTCCGGAAGCCCCAGGAGACCCTCCCAAGAAGCCCCACACCCACCAGCATGGCCTCTTTCATATCCCAAGACTCATGTGCCCAGAACCCCTCCTTCCCTTGGGGGTTCTAGATAGTGTCTGGGCAGGATCAGGTCAGATCTGGAGCCAGAATGTCAGCTCTGTGATTGCTCCTTGGCTGTGTGATCTCAGCTAGGTTGCTGAGCCTCCCTGAAAATTAGTTCCTGCCTGGCAGGGTTGTTTGGCAGCCTATGTGAAGTTCCTAGCTAAGGGTTCTGGTCTTGAGGGATTGCCCGGTTGAAGTTAACCAGGAAGTTAGTGAAAGAACAGATCATGGGGGCTCCCCCAGAGCTCCAGAGAACAGTAATGAGGTTGTATGAATGGGGAGAGCTCTGGGGGTTCCAAAGTAGGGAGGGAAATATGCCTAGATCGAGCACCCTCTGAATACTAACTCCCAGTAGACTTTTCAAATACAGCACCCAGTTTCCTTGGGTGGGAAGTATATCCTCATTTACAGATGAAGAAATGGGCTCAACGGCTAACTGTGGACAAGTGACCAGGGTTGGGTTTGGACTTCGGGTCCAACTGGCTCCACATCTGACAGGATGATCTTAACAGCTGAAGCTCTGGGATCAGACAGACCTGGCAGAAGCTCTGCCTCTGCCCTTTACTTATCATGAGACCTGGAACCTTGGTTTCCTCATCTGTAAAATGGAGATAATGAAAATTTCTATTTCACAGGGTTATAATGAGGATTGAAGGAGATGAATGCCTGTCCTAGGGCTCAGCACAGTCTCTGGCACATGGTATGGGCTCATTAGGGGGCAGTCTATGATGACAATGATGATGATGATCTTCCTTTGAGAACCACACCGACTCATGTGCAAGAGGATTTCTAGGTGGAACTAAAAGTCAGCAGTTGAACCAATGGGTTTGGCAGTGTGGGGGTAGCTGTGGGGCATGGAGGGTGAGGGGAGAGGAGGGTGCCCTAGTATTCTGCATAGGATACCCACCGGACTACCACTTCCTCCCTTTTGACTCACCATACTGGCCAAGTAGGGTTTCACCATGGCCAATATATCCTCTGTGCTCATCTGTTGCATCTTATCCAGGAAACCCCAGCCCTGTGGGGACATCAAGTTCCTCTCGTAACAGCCTTATCATCACCACCCCCCACTCGCAACCATGAGCAGACAAGTGTTCACGGCCCGGTGAACAGAGCCAAGTGTGACTAGGTGCTGTAGGAGGGCCCACAGGGGAAGTTAAAATGCTGTCTTTAAAATGAAATGTTGTCGGAGCGCCTGGGTGGCTCAGTCGGTTAAGCGTCTGCCTTCGGCTCAGGTCATGATCCCGGGGTCCTGGGATCGAGCCCCGCATTGGGCTCCCTGCTCAATGGGAAGCCTGCTTCTCCCTCTACCACTCCCCCTGCTTGTGTTCCCTCTCTTGCTGTGTCTCTCTCTGTCAAATAAATAAATAAAATCTTTTTAAAAAATAAATAAGATAAAATGAAATGTTGTCTTTATATGTTACAGTTTTAAGGGCATAGTGTCTGGGTTCAAATCCCAGCTCTGCCACTTTCTAGGTGCATGACCTGGGCCTATTACTTAAATTCTCTGTGTCTCAGTTTCTTAATCTGTGAAACAGAAATGACAATAACCTGCCTCATAGGATTATGAAGACTGAAGTAGCAAATACAAGGACCTTGACATTCAGTAAACACTGTGGAAACATTAACTGTTGAAGTTAGTTTCATGGCTACAAGGCTCTTTGTTAATCTTTGTGAAAACAGGAACAGAAAACCCACAGATGAGTAAACTCAACGAGTGTATACCTAAAGGGGGATGTTAATAGCATTAAAAAGTAAAGGACTAAACTAAAGGCCACAGTAGCGAAAGGTGCAAATGTCTTAAAAATGATGGTCTATAAGAACAATAGACCAAAATCAGTTGTGTTTCTACACACCAGCAACGAACATCTGAAGATCATGTGCAGAAAACAATTTCATTTACAATAGCATCAGAAACAAAATACTTAAGAATCCACTTCATTGGGCGCCTGGGTGGCTCAGTCGTTAAGCGTCCACCTTCGGCTCAGGTCATGATCCCAGTGTCCTGGGATCGAGCCCCGCATCAGGCTCCCTGCTCCGCGGGAAGCCTGCTTCTCCCTCTTGCCTCTGCCTAACACTCCTCCTGCTTGGGCCCTCTCTCTCTCTGTCAAATAAATAAATAAAATCTTAAAAAAAAAAAAAAAGAATCCACTTCATTAACAAAGTGCAAGATTTGTACATTAAAAACTCAAAAACATAATTGAGGGAAATTACAGAGGACCTATGTAAATGGAGAGACAGCCTATGTTCGTGGGTGAAAGACTTCATCTTGTTAAGATGGCCATACTTCCTAAACTTATCTATAGATTCAGCGTGATCCCTATCCAAATCTCAGCCACTTTTTTTTTTTTGGCAGAAATTGACAAGCTGATCAGAATTCATATGGAAATGCAAGGGACTCAGAATAACCAGAACAATTGTTAGGGACTGATTTGTATGTCCACAAAAGGGTATGTACAGTCATGACCCCCAGGACTGCAGAATGTGACTTTATTTAGAGATAGGGCCTTTAGAGAGGTAGTCAAGACGATTACAAAGGTAATCATTAGGGTGGGCCCTAGTCCAATATGTCTAGTGTCCTTGTCAAAAGGGACAATTTGGACACAGAGATGGATGGTACAGAAGGAAGACAATGTAAAGACAGAGGGAGAATGCCCTCCATAAGACAAGGAATGCCTGAAGCTACCAGAAACTAGAGAAGAGGCATGGATTCTCACAGTACTCAGAAGGAACCAGTCCGGCTAACACCTTGATTTCAGATTTCTAGCCTCTAAAACTGTGAGGCAATTGATTTCTGTTGTTTAAGGCCCCCATGACAACCCTAGCAAAGTAATGCAGCAATCCTGAAAAAGAAGAACAAAGTTGAAGGACATACTTCCCCATTTCAAAACTTACTACAAAACTGTAGTAATCAGGATAGTGTGGTATTGGCATAAGGATAGACATATAAATTAATGGAAGAGAAGTGAGAGCCCAGAAATACATTTATGGTCAATGATTTTCAGTGAGGGCACCAAAACAATTCAATAAGGGAAGAAAGGTTTTTTAAACAAATGATTCAGGAACAGCTGGATAACCACATGCAAAAGAATCCCTAACTTAAACCATATACAGAATTAACTTCGAGTGAATCAGACCTAAATATAAGAGCTAAAACTATAAAATTCTTTGGACAAAACATAGAGGTAAGTCTGGATGATTTTGGATTAAGCAATCACTTCTTAGATATTACTCCAAAAGCACAAGCAACAAAAGAGAAAATAAATCAGACGTCATCAAAATGAAAGTGTTTATTTATTTATTTTTTTTAAGATTTTATTTATTTATTTGAGAGAGAGAAAGAATGAGAAATAGAGAGCACGAGAGGGAAGAAGGTCAGAGGGAGAAGCAGACTCCCCGCTGAGCAGGGAGCCCGATGCGGGACTCAATCCCAGGACTCCAGGATCATGACCTGAGCCGAAGGCAGTCGCTTAACCAACTGAGCCACCCAGGCGCCCAAAAGTGTTTTTTTAAAAGATTTTATTTATTCATTTATTTGAGAGAGAGAGAGAGAGCACGAGAGGGGGGAGGGTCAGAGGGAGAAGCAGACTCCCTGCTGAACAGGGAGCCCGATGCGGGACTACATCCTGGGGCTCCAGGATCATGTCCTGAGAGCCACCTAGGCACCCCAAAATGAAAGTTTTTTGTGTTGTAAAGGATACCATAACAAAGTGAAAAGACAACCCACGGAATGGCAAAAAAGATTTGCAAATCATATATCTGATAAGGGATTTGTATCTAGAATATATGAAAAACCCTTACAATTCAACAATAAAAAGACAATGCAATTTTAAAATGGGCAAAAGACTTTAAAAGACATTTCTCCAAAGAAGATATAAAAATGGCCAATAATCACATAAAAAGATGCTCAACATCTTAAGTCATTAGGGAAGTGCAAATCAAAACCACAATGAGATACCACTTCACACCCACTAGGATGACTATAATCAAAATGAGAGCTAATGAGTGTTGGCAAGGATATGGAGTAATTGAAATCCTCATACATTGCTGGTGGGAATGTGAAATGGTGCAGCCACTTTGGAAAACAGGCAGTTCCTCAAATAATTAAACAGAGTTACTATAGGACCCAGCAATTCCACTCCTAGGTATATAACCAAGAGAAATTAAAACATATACTTGTACATGAATGTTCATAGTAGGATTACCCATAATATCCAAAGAGGTAGAAACAACCCAAATATCTATGAACTGATGAATGGATAAACAAATTGTACCATACCCATACAAGGCACTATTCAGTCATAAAAAAGAAGGAAGTACTGATATATGCTCCAACATGGATGAACCTTGGAAACATCCTATTAGATGAAAGAGGTCGGACAAAAGAACCCCACATATTGTAGGATTCTATTTATTTGAAATGTCTAGGAGGTACCTGCCTGGCTCAGTTGGTGGAGCATGTGACTCTTGATCTCGGGGTTGTGAGTCTGAGTCTCACTTCGGGTGTAGAGATTGCTTGAAATGTCTAGAACAGGCAAATCCACAGATTTGACAAAAAGTACATTAGTGGTTGCCATGGGCTGGGGGGAGGCGGGATGGGAAGTGACTGCTAACAGGTACGGGCTGCATTTTAGGGTGATGCAAATGTTCTGGAATAAGATAGTGGTGATGGTTGCACAACTTTGTGGATATACTGAAACCCACCGAATTATACACTTTTTAAAAGGGTAAATTTTATGGTATGTAAATTACATCTCAATAAAGTTGATATTTTAAAAATTATGGTCTGCAAATGCTGGTAAAGTTGTAATAAAACCTGTAGACTCAAGTTGCTGGCCGCAGTTTAAATCGGTGTAGCAATTTCACAAAGTGCTGTGCTAGTGGCAATGCATAAGAGATGGAGAGGTCTCCATAAGATGTATGGATTACTTTCCATAGCTAAAGCTTTCACCATGGACATTTAGTAAACATCTAGTTGGCTGAGAAATGTACAGTTGTGCCCATATGGATGACAGGGGGAGTAAAGAGAATGCCTGCACCAGTGAGGAGGTGAGCAGCCCCCTGAGCCTCCCAATTCCTGAGAAACATCCTTGGCTACAAAGTCCCAGGCACAGCATTCTGCACCAGGCAGGCTTGCCCGGGTCTTGGGAGCCAGCCAGGTTGGCTCTTTCTCACCGTTCAATTCATGGCTCTAAGTTGACAGTGCGGGGCTAAGAGCACGGTTTCCCCTTAACGCTCTTCTGCCATTACACACACACACACACACACACACACACACACACACTGCATACACACACCTGGCCTGGAAACTTCTACAAGCTTTGTCCTTGAGTGTCAAGATTGCATGAGCCTGTCATCCAGCAAAAACCCAAATGTCCTTCCTGGAGAGCAATTCCAAAGGAAGAAATCAAAGGACAAAAGCTATGGACATGCAGAGGTTCACCTCCCTATTAGCTTCGGTCGTAAAAACTAGAAAGTACCCAAGTGTGGAAATTAAGGAATATTATGATGGGACCCTCCCTTTGTGGAAGGTTTTGCAGTCATTAAAGTCAATCACCGTGAGGATGAGTAGAAGGAGAATGATAGGAAATATGCTCAGAAGGAAAGCACGATGTGAACGCTTTGTGCGGGGAGTTCTGTGCACCTGGAAGGGACTGGAAGTCACTTGGGCCATGATGTTTAGGCTTTCAGGCACAGAGTCATACTAACCAGTCTCATAGAGTTTGATGTATAAACCAGACACCAAGGCAAGAATATGCTGCGAATCAGTACTGCCCAGAAGGCTACTTTGTGCAAAAGCATGGTCTCCAAGCTTTTGCTTTGGGAAAATTAAGCTGGGTAACCTTAAGCAAGTCCCATAAACCTCTCTGAGCTTTACTTTCTCACCTATCAAATGGGGGTGTCAGCTCATAGGTTGCGGTGTGATGTTGGGGTGGCAGAGGATTGGCTAGGGCAGGGCCTTAAAAGCAAAAGAGCCAGAGGACACTCACCCTGGGGATGAGCCAGCCAAACTCGTGATTGTTGACACCCACGAGGAAGGGCACAGAGTGGAAGTGCCTGTCCCTCAAGAGTTCCATGGGGCTCTTGGGAAAGAAGGTGCCATCAACGGTGTAGGAAGCCGTAGTGTTCTGCAGGAGAAAGCAAGGCACGGGTCTTCCCAGTCAGGCCCATGCCTTAAAAGATGGCATCCGGAGGTCCCCCGGCTGCGTGCCTGGGTGGCTGAGCCTTAGAGGGGATAGAGGTCACCAGGGTTGGAGGACCAGGAGAAATAGGGAGACCAGGCAATGGATACTTCCAAGCAGACCTCTTTCCTAGAAGAGCTGGCCCTGCATTCATGCTCCCAGGCCTGCTTGGGCCCTCCATCCCTTCCCCTCAGGGGTGGCTGCCCCAACGCTCACCCCAGGCTGCTGATTGCTTCTCTGCTCCCACAGGAGCTGGACGGACCCCTCTGCGCCATTGCCTGCCACCGCCCCCCCGAGAGGTAGGCATACCAACTTCACGTTAAGGATCTGCTCTTTGTTTGCCGTCTGCCGAAGGCACTGCAACATCTCAGCCGAAGAGGCAGAGCTGCAGCCCAGGGAGTCCGCGAAGCTCTGGGGACAGACGAGAGCCTTGCCTCTCCCTCACCCATCAACCCCCACCTTCCAGCCCTCTGCTTCCCATACACAATGGGCATATCTGTGGGAAAGATGGGGCAGTGATGTCAGAGGTGGGGCCTCGGGACTGGCCAGAGACCTGCCACCAACCCTGAGAAGGCTTCCTTGCCCACCAGCTTGGGTGGTCCCCAGGCACCCCGTGTGTCCCCCATTACATCATGCTGTCATTATTTGTGCGGGTAGCGGAGTCCCCTTTACCCCTCTGAGAACAGTGTCATTATCTAGTTAACCACATTCCCAGAGCCAGCCGGCTCAGTCAAGTTTCGCAGAGTGAGGTAAGGAAATGAGACAGGGTTCAGAGAGGAGGGATTCCACACGGCCAGTGCGGCAGGGAGGCGACAACAGGGGCTGCCGAGGCCTGAGCCAGGCTGGGGAGTCAGCTCCCTACTGGTGACACCCCTCTGGGACTTCAGGGCAAGCAAAGGGTGAGCTGTGGCTGGCGCATGTGGGGTGAGAGAGGCAAAGAAATGCAGACCTGAGCCAGGACCCTTGGGTTAGAATCCGTTAACGTTGGCATGGTGACGATCCCACTCTGAGCTATGGCCCTGTGGAAGAGCCCTGCAGCCAGCGGGGACAGGACCTGGGTGCAATGTGGAGGACAGGGGGCTGTCAGGGGACGGCAGAAATGCTGGGAGGTCTGGGGCCACGGGAGATACTCTGGCCAGCCTGCTGTGGTGACTCACCAGGGCAGAGACGATGCAGGCGCCAGCCGAAGCGCCTAAGATGGTGACAGAGTTGAGGTCACCTCCAAAGGGGGAGATGTTCCCCTGCACCCAGTTCAAAGCAGCCACCACATCTAGGAAGCCCCAGTTGCCAGGTGCATGCTCATCCCCAGTGCTAGGGGGCAGGGGGGAGGTAGTGGTTAGCGGAGGCGGCCTGGCTTTTCCTCCGCCTTTGTAGATTTGCTCTGAACCAGCCGCCAGGACGGCAGACCCTTCCCCTTTCCCCAAGTCTGGCCTGGCTATGAGGCATGCTTTGTAGCCCCCTGCCCAGCATGTGGTGTGGGTGTGCCTAGCTGGGGGTCAGCCAGAGTTTAGTGCTCCTTGCCCCCACCCCTTACTGGGATCCAGGCCCCAGACCAGCAGTCAACACTTCCTGTTCAAAGGACCAAGTTCTCTGTATAATTCTGGCTCCGGGAGAGCCCCTTCCCCAGAGGGGAGCGATGGGGAGCCTCCTTCTCTGCCCCGGACGGCATACGGGAAGGGTCCTTTGGTCTCCAGCCACCCTGCTTGCCTGAGAAATCTGCATTCAAGCACTCAAGACCCCTACCCTAGTTCCCCAATTGCCCTCACAAGCTGACTTCTCCCCAGTGCCAGCAAAGCCCTCCCCCAGGCTGGCCACCTCACCTGAGGAAGCCAAGAAACCCCAGGCGGTACTGGACGGTGACCACTACCACATCCCCGTAGGCAGCGAGGGCTGACCCGTCTTGGGAGGTGGCAGCACCCGCCACCAGAGCGCCTCCATGGATCCACACCATGACCTGCTGAGAGGCCATGGGGCAGTGACCCCCAGCTCCTGGGACACCAGCTGCCCTCCCATCAACCCAGGGTATTCTTGGGACCCCTGAGGCAGTATGAGAACGGGGTGGGAAGGGGACAGGCCAGGTGGAGCCGGATGTGCAGACAGGGCCCTCGGAGCTGCACACCGGCCGCCTGGCCCCTGCAGTGGCCTCAGCAGGGCTGTAGATGTTGAGGATCAGGCAGTCCTCTGAAACAGGGAAGAGCCGGTGCTTTCCATTCAACACAAATCTGCTGTTGTCCATTCTCTCCAGATCCTGCAGGCACCTGTGGCCAGGGATGCGCCCAAGGGCCAAGGGGTCAGCCCCCCAGCCCCGCCATCTAGATTCCTGCAACCTACCAGCTTGTCCACCTCCAAGGGGTTACTCACATCGCAGGGGCATTGCTGGCATCCCGCACACCCTCCCAGGACTGCGCTGGGCGCGCGGCTGAGAATCGGCCAGGCCCCAGAGGTGCCTGGGCGAACGGGAGGCCCAGGAAGACATTCACCAGGCGGTCTGTGCCCTTCACGGCCACCTGCCGGCCTCGCACGCGGCCCAGGGGGGTGTCCACTTCAGGCTGTGTGACCCCAGGCCCTGCGGGCAGGACAGATGGCCAGCGAATGAGTTTGCAGCCTCCACAGGTGGTGGTGGGGGCCGGGCAAATGGACTCACTACACATTGTTTCTTGGAGCACCTACTCTGTGAGCCCTGTTCTGAGTACTTTGCACACAGCACTGTGACTAACCTTCCCAGCAAGCCTGGGAGATGGGCCCTATGATGACCCCCCACTTTCTCCTCCCCCCTTGCAGGTCTGCCACTCTCCTCTAGGCCAAACCAATCCCCCGAGGGCGAACTAGGTTCTCCTGGGACCCACAGACCTGCTGTGGGGCTTTGGGCCTTGGGCTAGCCATTCACCCTCAGATTTCTCATCTGCTAAGTTAAGTGTAATAACCATGTCTTTTCGTTTTCTTTATTTTGACACCTTGCAGACTCTGGAGGGACTGCGGGTTCCAGGGCTGGCCAATTCTTAGAGATAGTAAACAACTCACTGAAAGGTGTCTTTCAGAAGAGAACCAACCAATCCAGAGCCCGTGCCCCCAGCTACCTCCTCTGGGCTTCTCAGAGTCCCCACCACTAACCACCTGCCCTAATCACCCCAGTGGCCAGATACCAGATAATGAGGGACCGCCCCATGCCCCAGAGCCCACCGAGAACATTGGAATTAGCCAATCCAGAGCCTGCTTAGCCCCCTGGCCGCTTCCTTCTGCAAACAATAAAGGCTCTTGCCCACGGGTTTTCCCCTCCCATCCTCTGCCTCCTGACTGACCCATGCTTCCCTGCATGCTGCTTGTTTCTCGGACCTGGGAGGAAGCCTTTCGTGACCCTCCCTTCTGTGTCTGTATCTTGCTGATTAATCAAATCCTGGGTGCCCTGAAAACATAAGGACAATCATGTCCTCTGGCAGGCCTGCTCTGGAGACCACACGTGACCACAGTTGCAGAGCCCCAGCCCAGAGAGGATGCATACAATCCCTGGCATTTCTTGGAACTGAGGGCTTCTTCCCTGAGCAGGCTGCCCACCACTCCCCGTCCCTGCCTCCCTCTTGCCCCCTCCACCCAAGTCCTCCCAGCAACCCTGAAGCTCCCACCTCTGCAAGCTAAGCTGGCACACGTCTTACCGGGGGCTGAAGCAGGGAATGCCAGGAGCAGACAGGGCACCCACAGCAGGACCCTGGACCCACTTCTTACCACTGTCCCCATGCTCCTCACAACTAACTGGGGGCAGAAGTGGTGGAAGGTATAAGAAGGCCCTGCCCTTTGGCACAACCAATCTCTAAAGGGTTATATTATAAAAACCTCAGTGGCCCTGCCCATCTGGCTGGTGGCCAGCCCTAAGACCCAGTACCCAGGTGGGGGAAGGAGGGCTCAGAGAGTGCACTGCAGGGGCGTGAGTGATGCGATATTTCGTGAGGCGCGGGGGAAGGGGCGGGCAGGCAGGGGGGAAGAGAAAGAGTCTGGGCTTTGTAGCTCTGCAGCCCTGGGCTCAAATTCCAGCTCTCCTGGTTCAGTGAACTCCACCGGACCCTGTGCGCTCATTACAAGAGACACACACCACTGATCCGAGGGACTGGTGGCCAGTGACTGGGCTGCATTTCCGAGGGAGCCCATGGCTCGGGGCAGAGCTGGGGTCCAGTCCTGCAGGCCAAGGGGGTGCCTGAGCCCTGATGTTGGATGGAGGGAACTGAAGGTGATGCTCTTTGTTGTTGTTGTTGTTTTTAAATTGAGATTAAATTTATATAACGTACAATTAACTATTTTAAAGTATATAATTCGGTGGCACTTAAGCGTATTTGCAATTTTGTGCAATTACCACATCTCTGTAGTTACAAAACTCTTTCATTGCCTCAGCAAAATATCCCATACCTGTTCAATAATCGCTCCCATTGTTACGCGCCCCCATCCCCAGATAACCTGATAACCATTCGTCTGCTTTCTGCCTCCCCGGATTTTACCTACTCAGGATATAGCACATAATAATAACCAACCAGACACAAAGGTCACACCCTTTGTGTCTGGCTTCCTTCACTTCGCATAATGTTTCTGAGGTTCATTCAAGTTGTAGCACATATCAGTCCTTCAGTCCCACTTTATGGCCGAATAATAATATTTCACTGTATGGCTATATCACAATTTGTTTTTCCATTCATTTAGTGATGGGCATTTGGGTGGTTTCTACCTTTTGATTATTCTGAGTAATACTGCTACGGACACCCGTGTGTAAGTTTCTGTGAGTTCCTATGTTTTCATTTCTCTTGGCTACATACCCTTAGGAATGGCCTTGTGGTCACCTGGTAATTCTGTGTTTAATGTCTTGAAGGACTGGCAAGCTCTTTTCCGTCGTGGCTGGCTGATACTCTTTTTTTTTTTTTAATTTATTTGACAGAGAGAGACACAGCGAGAGGGGGAACACAAGCAGGGGGAGTGGGAGAGGGAGAAGCAGGCTTCCTGCCAAGCAAGGAGCCCGATGCGGGGCTCGATCCCAGGGCCCTGGGATCATGACCTGAGCCAAAGGCAGACGCTTAACCGACTGAGCCACCCAGGCGCCCTGGCTGATATTCCTGTAAAGCCTCAGGGCCTTGGGCCTAGGCGGCCCTGCCATGGGGCCCCAGGACTGAGGATGCCCAGGGTGTATTCTGGGCGTGATTTTCTCATGTCGGCCCCCTCTCTCTTGAGACTCCTCAAGTGACAGGGCAGAAGCAGGGCACTGCTCTCAAGAAGCCGTCGGGCTCCTGGCGGGAGGATCTAAGGTCTATGGGTAGAGAGAGTGGAGGAAGAGGAGCAGGAAGCTTCTTAGTCACAACTCAAATCCTACTCCGAATCCCAGGATGACGTGATTTAAGGGCCAGACCTCCTGCGTTCAAATCCGGGCCCTGCCGAGCGCTAGCTGTGTAATTTTGTACCCAGAGCCCTGGGTCTGGTTTTGCCGTCTGGGAAACGGTGATGATTCTAGGAAGCACCTCACAGGGTCTGCGGTTACATGTGTGAAAACACAAGACACGGAACCAGAGCCGCTGGAAGCCTGTTCTTGCCTCGGGCCAGGCGTCTGTCAGGGTGTCTGTCTCTCTGGGACAGCCTCTACCCCAAATAAAGGCAGGACTCACCTCTGGGCCTTAGTGTCGGGAGCATGGCTGGCCGGGAGTTGGGATGGTGGCGGGGGGGGGATGTGTGGGGAGTGTGGGGCACTGGCAAATATTTACCGATTCGAACAGAAGTGCTGGCTCTGTGAGGAGCTGGGTGAGGGTCATGCCTAGACAAGATGCCAGATTCTCTCCTGGGGTTCCAGCTGGCACTCAGAGCTGGAGAGGCCCAGGGTCAAACTTCTCTCTGTGGAAAATAACCAGTGCACCTTCCCGGATTGTCTCTGGCAGCCTCCCAGGTGGGGCCCATCCCTCTCCCTGCACCTTGATCCATACGTACATGCAGGAGAGCAGGAGCAAGGAGGGGAGAGAGACAGAGACAGGGACAGAGAGACAGAGAGAAAGACACTGAAACAGGGAATCAAGCACAGTAAGATACCACTACACACCCACTACAATTAATCAACGGTAGGAGACTGATAAGACCAAGTGTTGACAAGGCTATGGAGCAATTAGAACCCTCATAGGTGGTTGGTGGGGGCACAAACATGGTACAGTCACTTTGGAAGACAGGTTGGCATTTTCTTTAAAAGTTAAACATGCACTTGCCATATAACCCAGCAATTCCACTCTCACTATTTTCCCCAAAGAAATGAAAACACTGGGCGCGTGAGTGGCTCAGTCGGTTAAGCGTCTGCCTTCGGCTCAGGTCATGATCCCGGGGTCCTGGGATTGAGCCCTGCATTGCATCGCATGGGGCTCCTTGCTCAGTGGGGAGCCTGCTTCTCCGTCTCCCCCTGCCCCTCCCCCCTGCTCTTGTGCTCTCTCTCTCACCCTCTAAGAAATAAAATCTTTTTAAAAAAAGAAATGAAAACACATGTCCACACAAAGACCTGTCTGAAAATGTTCACAGCAACTTTAATAAAGCCAAAAAATAGAAATCACGCAAACGTCCATTAATTGGTGAACGGGAAAAAAAATGTAGCATACCATATGTGGCATACTACTTTGCAGCAAAAAAGATTCTGGTTGAATCTCAGAAACATTATGTTAAATGACAGAAACCAGTAATAAATGATTCCATTTCTATGACATTCTAGAAAAGGCAAACTATAGCAATAGAAGGCAGTTTGGTGGCTGTGTGGGACCAGGGTCAGGGCACTGCCTGACTGCAAAGGGGCACAAAGGAACTCTTTGGAGTAAACATTCTAAAACTTGAGGGGTGCCTGGATGACTCAGTCGGTTGAGTGTCTGCCTTCGGCTCAGGTCATGTCTGTCTCATACATTTAGCCAACTTTGTGAAACCGTACATCTAAAGGAATTTAATTGTATGTAAATTATTCCACAACAAAACTGTTTAAAAAATAAGATGACTAAAAAACTAATACTGGGAACCCACTTTTGGAAAGCATATTGTGCATCTGCAGGACTGAAAAACATACAGAGACATGCATGCAGTGGGTGCTCAATAAATGCTTTCAGGATGCAGAAGCATTATGCACCAGTCAGTGTCCCCTAAAAGGAACGCCCCTCCCCTCTCTCTAGTTCAAGAGGGCCCAGGCTTAAGGTTACCCTTGTCTGCCATCTGGTGGCCAGTCTCCATCCTTCAGACCCCACTTCCGGAGGCTCTGTGGTTGGGCTTACAGGCAGTGGAGGGAAGGAAGGGGGGCTTTCCTCCTGGAAAGTCTAGTGCCTGGAGAGGGCAAGTTGGCAGAGGGAGGGCCATAGCAGGACTCCTAGGTCTGTGAGAAGAAGGATACAGCCTCTGAGAGAAAAAGTGCTTTGGTAGAGCAAAGAGGCCCAGTGAACACAATTTGGTATCTCTGCATGCTGAGATCAAATCCTGTGTACGAGAGGGTTTCCTTTGCGGGGGGGGGGGGGGGGTCGGATAAGGTGAGGGAAGGAAAAGTTTAGGGGAGGCAATGGGGTAAGCAGGAAAACTGATCATGTGGATGCCCACGGTGAGTTGGGGGAAGGTCAGCAGAGGGTGGGGGGATGGTCGGCAAGAATTCCAAAAGGCGAGAGGAGACCTCCTTGGATGGAGAGACCTTTGGAAGCAAGGAGACAAGAGTCTCTTCTCCTGGACTTTCTGGTCTCCCAATCCTACTTCCAGGGAACATCTCACAGATAAACATCTGTATTGATGTGCAGCAGTTGTGTAAAGTTTGCCCTCCCCCCCAAGCCGTGTCACAGAACCACTGAAAATAAAGGCAGATTTCAGGAGGTGGGTGGCTGAGGGACCCATCTGGCTCTCCTGGCCACTGAACAGCCCGCCCAGGCTCCAGGGGCCCATGGACAAGCTCAGTCTTCTTACAAAAAATGGAGTCGGTCACCTTGTGTGACACAGGTAAGTGACTGGGTGGGTGTTTAAATGTCAGTGGTAGATGACATTTAGTCTAGGGGACAATGGGTGGGGACAGGGACTTCTACATCCTCAGTAGTTGGTGGCCTCGGTGGCCAAGATCTCGGAGCTCCTGGGTTCCTGGCATCCAGATTTTCTACTGGCTCCGTACAAATACGAGAGCACGTGGCGCTTGCTGAGAGCCAGGTGTGGGTAACATTTCCCAAATCACCGTCCTTCAAAAGGAGAGGAGAGGGAGGGTGGGGGTGGGGCCTGAGGCTCAGTGTGGTGTGAATTTCCATCGGGGTTTGCCAATGGGGGGATTCACTGAGTCTGTCTAACGTGAGAGGACCTGTGGGGGCTTGGCAACTAACAAGATGCAGGAGGTTCTTAATAAATGCTGGCTGGCTGGCTGGCTGGCTGGCTGGCTGGCAGAACGAATGAATGGCTAAGTGAAGGAAGGAAAAGCTCCTGGCACCTTAGTGTGTATGTGTGGGTATATCCGGCAGACCCCCACCTGCACTCGAGCCCCCCCACCCCGGCCCTTCAGCCCCAGACACAGGAAGCTACAGCTCTGTGTGCTTCCCCTCCGCCTCCGCCTCCATTAGCTCCCGTGTCTTCTGGGGTAGGGTCTTCGTCCAGAACTGAAGCCTCTGGGCCTTCAGGGCCCGGCCCACTGCAGGCTGCGTGTTCAGCTGCAGGTACTGCTCTTCCTGGTCGAACACGGGCCAGTGGGGCAGACCCTCGCCGTTGGGGTCCCTGTAGACATGCCCTCCCGGCAGGGCAGGGGGAGAGTCACTCGGAGCCCTGCTGAGCCCAGACCTGGCACCCCAACTTGGGTCAGGCGAGGTGCCAAACGGGCCAGGTGGCCTTGGGGAATGACAGGGGGATGCTTCTAGATGTGGAAAGAAACTACCTCCCACTAGAGTGTCACCAGGAGGCAGGGCAACCTGGACTGTTTCTTCCCTTCCCGTCAGAGGGAGGCTCTGTGGGTAACATAGCACTGTCCCCCTCTTCCAGGTCACCTGGAGATGGATGGAGTGCCCAGCACCCACAAGGCCCCTCCCTGTCTGTGTGGGACCTGGAGCTGGGGAAGGAGCCACCATGGAATTAAGGATACATGTACGCTAATGAGGTCACAACAGAAAAGGGGGGCCCGCGAATGGGTTCAAGCCCCCCCAGCCCTGGACGTTGGGGTGGGGTGTGATATCTCACCCATTTCGAGCAAAGTTAGCCCAGTATTTCATCATCTTCCTGCTCAACAGCTTTTCTTCCTCCGTGACTTCAACTACAGAGAGCAAGAGGGAAAGGGTCCAGGTGAAGGCCAACCCCAGGCCAGCACACGGGTCAGCCCCCACCACACTCACCAGACCATGTGCAGCTTTTCTTTGGGCCCTCTTCTGCCCTCCCCCGGCCTGGCTCTCTGCCCACTCCCCGCCCCAGCCCTGGGGCACCAAGCCGTCTGGCCCCAACAAGGCTCATTCCTGACTGAGAAGGCTCTCTCCCTCCTCCTGACACCGGAAAGTGACTTAAGAAACAAATATGCCTGTGAAACACCCTCCTCTGCACCCATGCCAGGCATCCATGGTTGGGGTGGGGGGAGGTGGAGGGAGCATAGGCCCCATTCTGAAGAGTCTTGGACTCCAATTCTAGCTCAGCCTCTCTAGCTGTAAGATCTTGGGCACCTGGTCCCATCCTCCCATCCTCTCTCTGAGCCTTGGTTTGCTCATCTGTCACCCTCATGCAGGGACCCAGGCAAGGCCCCGTCCCCCATTCTGGGAACGAGGAGTCTCTGAGGGACCCCTCCCGGGAACACTCACCGTAGCCTCTCCAAGAGAGGGTTCCAAAAACAAAGAGTAACTCATCACCATGGTCTGCCCTCACATGGGGCGGCTTGATGTCCTTGAGGAAGCTGGGCCGATGCTGGAACTCGTAGAAGTAGACCGGGGCGTGTAAGCCTAGGGGGTGGGGTGGATAGGCCATGACATGGTGGTCCCTTACCTGGGCTCTCCTGCATCACCCATGGTGACAAGATAGCTAGGTCTAAAGCTGGTTGGAATCTGAACAATGGGGTGAGGGAGCCCCTGGCTGGAGCAAGACCAGTGGGAAGGACCTGGGTTCAAATCAGGACCTCGGAACTTCCTAGCTGTGTGGTTTTGGGCAAGTCACTGAAGGTCCTCATCTGTAAAATGGGGGAAAACATCCATCTCTTAGACTAGCTTTGAGGATTTACTGAGATGAGGGACATCAAGTGCTTGGCACCTAAGGACCCAATACATAGACATGGGTTGGGACCTGGACACCAATAGACCTCACCTGGGACCTATAGCTCTGAGCTGCCCCCTCACTGGTCTGGCCTTATAGATGTACTCACGCTGAAAATTGGCTACTTGGAGTGTAGGGATCACGAAGATGCAGTCCCCCATCATCTCAGAGAACAGGGCTTGGAGGGTCTGTGGGTCCCCACTGTCCCCCATGTACTCCTCCATCAACAGGTCAACAGACTCAGGAGGCAACATCTACCCCAGGGGGATCAGAAGTAGTCAGGTTAGGCAGGCTGGCAGCAGGAGGGAGGCAGCAGGGTCAGGTTTGGGGAGATGGATCCTGGGGTGGTATAGGGAATGGGAGGAAGGGGCCGAGCTCTGGGGTGACCCCAGCCTTTGCTCATGGGGGACAATGCATGGACCAGATATCTCGGGGATGGGTTTTCCCTTGCCTCTGGACAGGACAGGAGTCCCCCTCCATTGGGGCAAGACCCCAGAAGCCTCACCAACATTGTCGACACTTGCTGCAGGAGAGCCTTCACCGTCTCTCTGTCCATTTCCTTCTGGGTGTCAAAGATGTTCATGGTCTGGGTAGTGGGGGAATCTCCAGTTGAGGGTACGATGGGCCTAGAGCTCTGACGCCCTAAGCCCTGATTCCCCCCCACCCCCACCCCCGTGGGCCCCTGGCACCTGGGAGCTTGGGGCTGGGCCTCACCGAGGGGATGAACCAGCCGTACTCATCGTTGTTGACACCAATGATGCTGGGGACAGGTTGAAAGTCAGCGGAGGCCAGAAGCTCCTGGGGGTGCCTGGGCAGGAAGGTCCCATCCACTACGCCAGGGATGACCATGAAGGGCTGAGAGGGCCCACAAAGTGAGGTCCCAGACAATTCCTGATGCGCTCTGAGTCCCGTTCACCCCCTCCCAACTCATCCAGGATGCTCACACCCCCTCCCCCAAGAGGTCCTGCCATTGGCTTAGCATGGCCTGGCCTCAACTTTCCACCCAGGGCTGTGAGGACACCAAGGTGTGGAGATGGAGTAACTTGCCCAGAGAATGTAAAGGACAGCCTCCCCACCCCTACTGGTCCCCTTCTTCCATACACACGTCCATTCAGCCCAACCTGGCTGATGGCCAGAATCTCCTCTTCAGTTTTGCCCCGCAGGCAGCCCACAAGGGCCTCTGAGTCAACCTGGCCACAGGCAGACAGGTTGGCCACCATCTGTAAAGAGACCAGGCAGGGGCTGGCTCATCCTTCCAGATAGGGGAGAAGGATTTGCCCAACGTCCCAGCCGGGAGCAGGTGCACCCCAAATCTCAAGGTATTAGGTGTGGATTCGGAGGTCTCAGCCAGAGGGGCTGGCCCACCTGCCTAGACAGGCCTGCCCATGACGGGGCCCCTTGTTATCCCCATTTAACAGAGTAATGGAGGCTGAGAGCTAAGAGATGAGGCAGCAGTCTGGCTTCCCACGGTTGGGGGTACTCACCATGGAGACCTCATTGGATGAGCTGACAATGAGACCAGGCAACAGGGCCACACCGCTCTCCATGATGGCACGATGGAAGAGTCCTTGGGACATGGGGGACACGACATGGGAGGACACGCTTGTGCCACCCGCGGATTCGCCAAAAATGGTGACACGGCCAGGGTCTCCTCCAAAATAGGCAATATTTTGCTGGACCCAGCGTAGCGCGGCCACTTGATCCAGGTAGCCCCAATTTCCAGGTGCATGCTTGTCTCCAGTGCTGAGAGGTGACAAGGACAAGGATGATGGGGCTGTCCCAGCTTCATTCAGCCGGCATTGCCCTGCCTAGCCCCAGTCTCACCTGAAGAAGCCCAGCATACCCAGGCGGTACTGGAGAGTGACCACCACCACATTCTCAAAGGCCGCCAGCACAGAGCCATCATATATGGAAGCCATGCCCATCACAAGCCCACCACCGTGGATCCACACCAACACCTGGGGAAATTGAGGCACAGACACCATGTGGCTCCCACCCAGCCCAAACCCCACTGGGGCTGCTACCTGAACTCTCCACCACTTTTTTTTTTTTTTAAGATTTTATTTATTTATTTGACAGAGAGAGACACAGCGAGAGAGGGAACATGAGCAGGGGGAGTGGCAGAGGGAGAAGCAGGCTTCCTGCGGAGCAGGGAGCCCAATGCGGGGCTCAATCCCAGGACTCTGGGATCATGACCTGAGCCGAAGGAAGATGCCCAATGACTGAGCCACCGAGGCACCCGACTCTCCACCACTTTGGCTCTGTCTACCTAAACACATAGAGCTCAGGCAGGAGAGGGTGGTGTCTTCACGACCTGGGCTGAAGGTGACCCAATTTCTATCAGGAAAACTGGGCTTCTCATACTTTGGGTCCCACCCTATGTACCAAAGCCTGGCTCCATCTCTCCTGGAACTCTCTCTGAGGTGAAAAGAAAAGGGGTGTCATCCCACATGCATGTTAATTAAAAGTTTCTCCATTCTCGTTGGTCAACAGATACAGCACCTGAGTGGGTCTCCTGGGCATGAGTTGGTTGGGTGAGTCTTGGGTCCATCCCAGGGCCACAGCTTCTGACCTCTGGGAGCAGCCAGGGTCCTATGACCCCATGCCCAAGGGTCAGCCACTCATGCTGGGTAAGAAACACTCTCTTGGACCCAACCAGTGAGAGGCTTCTTAACAGGGTCCACACTGCAGGGGGCCCAGGCTGATCCTGTCCCTTCTAATCTTCTTGCAGAATCTTCTTGCAGAAGGGTGCTCCCACACCCCAGCCGGCGGGGGCCTGGCACTCACCGGCAGACTGGAAGCTTCATGGGCGTGGGCAGGTGTATAAATGTTAAGGTAAAGGCAGTCTTCGGACATGGAGGTGAAAGGCAGGGTCACATTCAACAGTTTCAAAGCCACTGCATTCATGGTAGTGATGTTCTGCAGACACCTAGTGGGGCCGTACCACAGTCAAAACCAGATCCTGGGCCCAGATTTGTTCCCCGCCACCTTCAGTCCCACTTCCCCCAAGACCTTGCTCACACACGGTCCTTCCCTAAAGCCCCTCTGCACCAAGTCACAGGCCACAGGCTCTGGGGAGGCTGGGAGGGAGCCCCGTCTTCCAGGGATGCCTCAAGGTTATGAAGGCCTTGCCTACCAACTCTCCTGAGGCTGGGAAATCTTGACTCTTGGGGGTCTCTGTGAGAGCCGTGGGTTGCAAGTGTTGACATTCAGCACTGTATTCCTGTACCCAGACAGGCGTGGAACAGGGGAGTAGCCCACATCTGTGTGCTGCCCGAATGAATGGATATTAACTTCTCATGAGAAGGGCAGTGGGACAGCCCTCAGCTCCAATCAGGCTCTCAGGCTCTCAGGGAACCTCATCTCTCCTACAGAGTTTCCAGTTGCAAGAACATACACATGCCCTTTGGCCCATGGCAGCTGGCCCTGTCACTGGCCCAGTAATTGCACACAGAGGGGGTCCTCCACTCCTCAGGGATCTACAGTACCTGCTGCTGGAGTCAAGGGCTATTACGGGGTTCATGGAGCCAACCCAAGCCTCCCCTGGTGGCAGAGAACACCTGACACGGCTAGAAGTGAGGCAGGTGTGTGTCTCTGCTTTAAGTGTCAAGCCCGGCGCCTGGGCAAGTTACTTTACACTTCCAAGTGTCTGCATGCTCCTGGGAAAAATGCATGTGGGGATCCACTAAACTCAGAGGGGAGACTGGCCTTGGGGGTTTAGATGAAATGACAACTGCAGCCTGGCCCAGAACTTGGAGTACCCTCCACCCTCCACTGGAGTTCCCTGGACTCCCTGCTTACATGGCTGGGTGGGAGGTCCCATCCTTTACACCACTCCAAGGTTCAGGAGGCTCGGGGGGTGCAAATCGCAGGGGCCCTAGAGGCGGCTTGGCAAAGGGAATTCCCAGGAAGGTGTGAGCTCCCACATCAGTATCTTTCACATGGACGAGGCTCCCCTGCACCTGCCCGGTGTGTGTGGTCCGGATGGGGCTGGCAGAGTCCTGGCCTGTGAGCAGAGAAATGGACATCAGGGTTGAGTCTACCCATCGGCTGCCCTCCCAGGCTATTGATGTTGCTGGCTGCTTCTGGTCCTCAGCTCAAGGGACTCTGATCTACAAACACTTGCTTTACAAATTTCCTGCCTTTAATCCTGTGTGTCCACAGCACACCTCCCACCACGCTCCCGCCCACTCCCCCAACTCTCTTCGCTGGGTCTGGCCCCAGCCTTTTCCACCACACTCGGTGAGGCTTCCTGGGACCCAGCACCATCGTTGAGCCCCAGGAGCTTCAAACAAATGGTCACATAAGCTTGAAGGGGTGAGAGTATCCTTTCTGCTGACAATGTGGATCACATGAGGCAGTAGGAGAACTGTGGGAATTGGACACTCAAGGCTCCTGTCCCTAGGGATCTCGTGCTCTAAGTGGTAAGAAATGACATAAAGAAAGCATCTTTCAAACCAGGAGTGATGATATGGTGAGGAGAGCTATGTAAATGAGGCACCACTGTAACTAGACGGTAAGAAGGACCACCCGCCCTACTATGGGCATCAGGGAGGGAGGAAGTGACTGAGGTCGCCTAACACAAGGAGCCCAGGTGAGATTCTTAACACACAAAGAATTTCTACAAATGAATAAGAAGTGTGCCAGTTGTCCATATTTGGTGAACGAATACGAAATGGTGAGGGAATACGTTCAGAGTAAGGAATACAAATAAATGGCTCATATGCCAAGGAAGAAATGTTCACTTCACTCATGCTAAGAGAAAGGCTCACTGAAATCTGACTGTGATGTTAACAACTTACTTTGTCACAAAAAGCAAGACAGTCAGATGATGTATGTTTTCTGATGGAAGTCCATAGCCCCGCATGAAGTAGTCTTGCCCCAAAACGTAACAAAGCAGAACCTGAAATTGAAATCTGATCAAGCCTGTAGAATACAAATAAATGAATACAAGTGTACAGGCACGCATACCAGGGGCAGGGAAACAGTTAAAAGACACCATATGGATGTAATCAGCAAAGCCCAAACTCTGGGATCCTCTCCAGAACAACTAAATTGGTTTCTTCGATATAAAAACAAAATTACAAGGAAAATAAAAGACAGGCAGAGGGAGACTGAAGACTCAAAGAGAGTCACATAAAAAAGGCTGATAATAACACACATTGGTAAGGATGTAGAAAAACTGGAACCTTCACACCTTGCTGGTGAGAAGGTAAAGTGGTGCAGGTGTTTTGGAAAGCAATCTGGCAGTTTTTCAAAAAGTTAAACAGAGTTACCATATGACCCAGCAATTCTACTTCCAGGCATAAGCCCAAGAGAACTGAAAACATACATCCACGCAAAAACCTGCATGTGAATGCTCATAGCAGGATTATTTACAATAGCCAAAAAGTGGAAACAATCCAAATGTCCATCAACTGATAAATGGATCAATAAAATGTATCCCATCTGTACAATGGAACATCATTCAGCATACAGAGAAAAAAGTACTGAACATGTCAACATGGATGAACCTTAAAAACCTTATGCTCAGTGAAAGAAGTCCGTCACAAAGGATCACGTATGGGATGATTTCATTTATATGAAATGCCCAGAACTGGCATATCCATAGAGACATAAAGCAGATTGGTGGTTGCCTAGGGCTCAAGGTGGGGGAAAGGAGGAATCGATGTGCTGAACTTTTGAATATACTAAAAACCATTGAATTGTATACTTTAAACAGGTGAACGTATACTATGTGGATTATATCTCAAAGCTGTTATAAGCAACACACCTACCAGTTTTCAAAGTATGGACCTTATTTGAATCCTGATTTAAAAAAAAAAACCCTGTTAGTATCATTTATGAGATAATATGAAATAAGAACATTTGGCTAGATACTTGATTACATTAAGAAATCATGATATTGTTATATGTATATATATTCCTTTTCTCTTAAGAGGACATAGAAATATCTACAGATGATATAATTTGCTTCAAATAATGGTGCAAGGGAGGTGGTAGTCTAGACAACACCAGGTTGCTCAGGTCTTGATAAACATTGAAGGTACGTCATGGATTCAGTGGGTGTGTTATACTGTTCTACCACAGACCGGAAACCCTTTGGTGCTGTATGGCTGCAGGCAGCACCAACCCTCTCTATCCCTCGGGGTGCATGGAGGTAAGCAGTCAGGCTCCCAGTTTCCCTGGTGTCATCTCCACCAGCTCCTGCCTGCCTGGAGCTTTCCTTCCGCAGGTTCAGGTTCTGCTTCTGCAGAATTTGGCCAATCTGAGCCTGGTTCATAATAAAAAGTAAAAAACAAAACCAAAAAACAGCCTCAGGGATCTATACTACCTACAGATCAGAGACAACAGGGCATGAGGGACCTTGAGGTGGACCCAGAAACTGAGTCCGGAAAGCAAGGAAGAGCTCTCAGGATGGGCAGTCCCACCTCCCTGCCTTTCCTCATACGGTCCCCTTCACCCTGAACAAAGGTTGTTTCCATTTCTACATCTGGGGGAATCCTGATCGTGCACCCCCTCACGGAAGCTCTCCCGGGTTCCCCAGTCACAGCTTATTGCTCCTGCTCTCCAGCCCCGAACACCCTTATCAGGCCTGTGACCATGAGGACAGTGAACTCAGTGACTCCAGTTTTGAGGAGAGGGTTGTTGGTATTGTGGAGGGGCTGCAGAAGCCTCGCCGCCCCTTCTGAGGAAGCCCAAGGGGGTCTGGGCGGAGGGGAAGTGGCCATGCAGTGCCCGCCTGTCACTGGTTTTTGCCTCTTCAGAGCCCACTCCCCTGCCAGACCCACCTTTCCCTTCGCAGCTCACCTGCCTATTCCCTGCTCAGATCACCTACTGGATCAACACTGATGCACATGCTTGATGCCAGAGCGTGTGGATAAGGCCAGGTCAGCAGCCGCTCACAGGTTCTACAGGGGGCAACTGAGCAATGTCTTCCCAAGTCAAAGGCCCACCCCTCCCCCCAGTAACACGCTGTCTACACAGGTGGGATATCTGTCCACGTAATTCACTGTGGCCACTGGCCTCCAATGCCTGAAGGTTGTTATGGCAAAGGACACAACCTGTTGAAATGTCCTGATCAGAGACCAGTTACATTAAGGATGCTTCCTCTTTGAAGAGAAACCCTTGCAGGAAACGGTATGAGGAAGCTCTAGTATGTACAGCTGTGGGGAGGTCACCCCCTATGTCAGGAAGTGGAAAAGCTGTGTGCCAGAAAGGGAGGGAGTTTGTGATCATTTAGGTGAAAACCAAGGATATGTGCATCCTGTGTGCATCCTCAGGAGTAAATTCCTGAGCAGTGTGTAGAAGGCCCTGGGGATCCTAATGGTCCCCGTGAAGGAGCCAGGATGGGATGGGGAGGGGAGGGACAGACATTATCACCTGTGCCCTCTTACGGCTTGTCTATTTTTTCTTTTCTTTTTTTTAAAGATTTTATTTATTCATGAGAGACAGAGAGAGAGAGAGGCAGAGGCAGAGGGAGAAGCAGGCTCCCCGCAGAGCAGGGAGCCCGATGCGGGACTCGATCCCAGGACCCTGGGATCATGACCGGAGCCGAAGGCAGATGCTTAACCGACTGAGCCACCCAGGCGCCCCTGTTTTCTTTTTGAATGTAGGTCCAATCCGAAATATTAACATTTTTTTTTTCGAAATATTAACATTTTTTAAAGGGCGGTATCAGCAAGGCCTAGCAAGTCGTCCTGCTGGAGGCTCTCGGTGACCTCTGAGAGCCTGATGAGCAGCTGGGAAGGGTGGAAGCCTCTTGGGGTGGGCCATGCGGAATGGATTAATGTTGCTGTCTCCAGGGCAGATCGGACTGGGAAGGGGGAGGATAGCTGGGTCTCACAGGTAGGGCCATTTGGGGTGAGAGGATCACAGAGGCAAGAGAGGCAAGGGAGCTGCGGAGGCCCCGGCACGGTGCCAGAAGAGCCTACGCTCCTGGTAACAGCCAGGAGAAACGGAAGTTGGCCCGAAGTGCAATCACCTTTGCTCTGGAGACCAAAAGGTGCCCTCACCCCAGATAGATGCATGGGGTGAATAGGATATGACAATCTCTCCAACAGACAGGCTTTAGGATGCAGGGGTGTGGGCTTGTGCAGTCAGATTCCTCAAGAGCCAGTAATCTTGACTGGGGCCCCTTTGGAGGGGCACTTGGCAGGTGCTGGGACACCCCTCTGGCCAAGGGCGTGACACTCAGAGCCAAACCGTGGCAGGAAGATTATTATTTTTCGCAGGCAGCGCTAGCTCTACCACAAACACTAAGAAGGAAACGTCCTGAATCACAAACACCACTCCCGCCTGCATTGCCAGGTGCCGCTCAGAGCTCCTGACCTCGCTTGCCCTTCTGTACAGCATGACCTCGGTCAGCCACGACTCTCTCTGCACCTCAGGGGGCCCAGCCAGGGGTTTCGATAGCATTGGGTCTGGTGCAAGTTTCCCCATACTGTGGTTCTCCACCCTCATCCACCTCCCTGGGGCCTTCCCTCCCTGGGGCCTTCCCTCAGGTCCTGCCTCTGCAGAATCTGGCAAATCCCACCCCAGTCCTTGCCGCCCCTGAAAGAGCCTCACCCTGGCCCAGGACGAGGAAAAGCAGGAGCCCACAGACCACGGCGTTCAGCCGCACGCGAAGTCGGTCCAGCAGCATGGTCTATTCGCAGCACACTGCTCTTTTCACCCAAAGACTGCCCAGGTGCCCATCCAGCGGCAGTTCAGAGAGTGTCTCAACCAGGTCTGGAGTTTGGACTGGTCTGGGAGTAGGCGGGGCTAGCTGGGCAGAGAAAGCAGGGGGGGCGGGGGGGCGCACTGAACAGCAAAAACCAGTGACAGGCGGGCACTGCATGGCCACTTCCCCTCTGCCCAGACCCCCTTGGGCTTCCTCAGAAGGGGCGGCGAGGCTTCTGCAGCCCCTCCACAACACCAACAACCCTCTCCTCGAAACTGGAGTCACTGAGTTCACTGTCCTCATGGTCACCGTTCCGGGCTGGAGAGCGGGAGCAATAAGCTGTGACTGGAGAACCCGGGAGAGCTTCCGTGAGGGGGTGCACGATCAGGATTCCCCCAGATGTAGAAATGGGAACGAACTTTGTTCAAGGTGAAGGGGACCGTATGAGGAAAGGCAGGGAGGTGGGACTGCCCATCCTGAGAGCTCTTCCTTGCTTTCCGGACTCAGTTTCTGGGTCCACCTCAAGGTCCCTCATGCCCTATTTTCCTTAATCTGAGGGTCTCCGCGGGCCTCCTCCCTATTCAGCTACTGCCTGCCTTTTGAAATGCACCCATGACTGTGGCATTATCTTAAGGACAACCGCAACCCAATCCTATGGCTTTCCCTCTCCCCACCTCCCGCAAAGATCGGACACTTATCTATTTGACAAACATTTAAGGAGCGCTTGTGGGTCCGTGTGCTAGGGACTCTGCAGGGCACTCTGGGGCCCAAGCAGAATGCGCGATGCAGAGGTGCGTCACCGGGAGGCTCCGAAATGCAGTAAACGGTGCCAGGACAGAGGACCCTTGGTACGCGGGGACCCGCCCAGCCTGAGGGCCGACTTCCTGGAGGAAGTGGTGCCCGAAGATACGCCTGGCCGGTCTTTAGTGTCCCCGAGAGCCAGCCGTGGCCTCCGCCGTCCAGCACCTAACCTACGGGCTCGAACGGCCCTGTGCCGCTCAAGTGCCTTCTCTGTGTATTCGCCGGGGCGGTCTGCATTTTTCCGGGTTAACGTACAGAGGGCACCGAGGCCACCGCTCCGCCTCAAAACACAGGTCGAGTACGGGCGGTGCAGCCTGTCCCACAAGCGACCCCGCCGCCACGCCACGCCCCCTGCCCGTTCCCCGGAAGTGCTCCTGCAGGAGCGGAAGTGCGCGCCTACAGCGGCCGGCGCGGTTTCGGGATGGTGGGGGGCGGCGGCGGCGGGGTGGGGAGCGGCCTCCTGGAGAACGCTAACCCCCTCATCTACGAGCGCTCTGGGGAGCGACCGGTGACCGCAGGCGAGGAGGACGAGCAGGTTCCAGACAGCATCGACGCGCGCGAGATCTTCGATATCCGTCGCTGCCGCGCGCGGGCGGGTTCGCGGGGGCCTGGGAGGGGGCTGAAGTGATGATGTCCAGTAGTTAGTGGCGCTGTATCAGGGCCGGGCATTCCCGGCGGAGGGCTCTGAGTGGGCCAAGGCACAGAGTCCCTTTTCCTTAACTTGCCACATCTGATTCGCTCCATTAATGACCCGGAGCATCCACTGACACTGGAAGAATTGAACGTAGTAGAGCAAGTCCGGGTTCAGGTGAGTCACAGCGTCCGAGGGGGGCAGATGGTTCGAAAGAGTCAGAAAAGCTCATCTGTACCAGGAGGCTGGCGTTCTGTCAGCTCACGGACTCGGGATCTTCGGAAGGGGGGGGATTGCTGTGCCCATCTCGTGGATAAGGAAACAGGCCCCTACAGGTTAGACGATTTGCCTGAAGTAACGTACTAAGAAGAAGGGAGTGCCTTCTGAGATCCCATTCTTCAACCAGGTGAGCGATCCTGAGAGCACGGTGGCCGTGGCCTTCACACCCACCATTCCACACTGCAGCATGGCCACCCTTATTGGCCTGTCCATCAAAGTCAAGCTTCTTCGATCCCTTCCCCAGCGTTTTAAGGTAAATTGGAGCTGAGCCCCAGGGGTAGGACAGGGGTGAACTTCTGCTTCTGAGGAAGACATGGAGAGCATGAACGTGAACATCAGAGTGAAGCCTGCACGGATCCCAAGTAGTGGTGATGAAACTGGGAGGAGCCTTTCCAATTGAATGGGACAACAAATATAAAGGCCCGTGCTGGAAAGTGCAGAAAAGTAGTGAGTGTGGCAGGAAGGGGAGGAGGAAGCTGTAGTTAGATTTGGAGCATGGATGGGGCAGAGGCAGCCCTTTAAGTCAACAGTAGCAGCCAGTTCTTTAGGTAGAGATGGAGTGGGTTTGGGGCCTAATGGAAGGTCCAGAGTCCACAGTCACGATTAGGAGGATCAGTGGAAGGTGATGAGTGGGGGGAACGGGACGAGGGGATAGATAGGTGATAAATCCTCACACCCCACCTCCCTCCCTCCCAGATGGATGTGCACATTACGCCGGGGACCCATGCCTCGGAGCATGCAGGTAAGTGTGGGCTGATGTTGAGGCATTGTCCCTGAGGCTTCCCCCTTGCCATGGTGGTTTGTAGGGCAAGATGGAAGGAGGAGGGCTGGGTGGGTGACTCCTCAGTGGAGGTGGCAGCCTAGAGTGAAGCTGGCTTAAGTGTCCTATGCTTACCATGTTCTTCCAATCCTGCCCTCTCCCTCTAAGTACACAGGACCAGGGTGTGTCAGACTTAATAGTACAGGGGGCAGCAGGTGGTTTGGGTAGCTTGGTTGAGGCTTGGGGTCCTGGGAAGGAGGTGACAGGAGGTTGGTGCAAGTGTGTATGTATATATACAAGGGTTAGAAGTGGAGCTGGTTGGCAGGCTGGCCAGAGCCTGGCTTTGATCCTTCTCCATTCCTTTCCCATCCAGTGAACAAGCAGCTTGCAGATAAGGAACGGGTAGCAGCCGCCCTAGAGAATACCCACCTGCTGGAGGTTGTGAACCAGTGCCTGTCAGCCCGCTCCTGAGCCTGGCTTCTTGCCCCCAGTCACACCCAGGGCTCATGGCCTTGTTTTCTTGAATCACTGACAATGAGAAACTAACATTTTGCATTTTGTAATAAACCCTTAATTTATATTCATTTCCCAGTGTGTCTCAGAATCTTTCATCCTGGGTCATCCCAGGTTTGGGAGGAGATGGTAATCGTGAGTGCAAGTTCCTATATAGGCTGGGATGATGAGATAACAGTGCATTTTTAAAATTTCTTCCAATGGTTTCATTAGGAAAAGTTGCAAGTATACAAAAAAATTGAAAGAGTAGTGAACACCATCTATATCCATCATCTATATTCAACACTTGTTCACATGTTGCAACATTGGCCTTATTTATGTGTGTATGTATAATATAAATGTATTTGAGAGTAAACTGTAGACACATGAGCCTTCACTTCCTAAGTACTTCATCCTGGTCTCCTAAGAGTAAACCTGTATAACCATAGTACTCTTACCTGGCCAAAATTGAAAAATTCTCTACCACCATCTAATATCCAATCGTTTATAAATTTCCCCAAAATATCATTCATAGTTGTTTTTTTTTTTTTTTTTTTCCCTCAGGCTTTGGGGCACCTGTGTGTCTTAGTTAAGCATTTGACTCTTGGGGCGCCTGGGTGGCTCAGTCGTTAAGCGTCTGCCTTCGGCTCAGGTCATGGCCCCAGGGTCCTGGGATCGAGCCCCGCATCGGGCTCCCTGCTCCGCGGGAAGCCTGCTTCTCCCTCTCCCACTCCCCCTGCTTGTGTTCCCTCTCTCGCTGTGTCTCTGCCAAATAAATAAAACCTAAAAAAAAAAATTTTTTTTTTGACTCTTGATCTCAGCTCAGGTCTTGCTCTCAAGGTCTCAAGCTCGAGCCCTGCATTAGGCTCCATGCCCAGTGTGGAGCCTACTTAAAAAAAAAAAAAAAATCAGGCTCCAGTGATACTTTATGTATTGTATTGGTATCTCTCTTTAGCCTCTTCTAGAACTGTCACCCCACTCCTCATCTTTTGATCTTTTTTGACATTGACTTTTTTGAAATTCAACTCAGATGAGTTGTCCTGAAGTCCTGCAATCCGTGTTTCTTTGCTACGTTTCCTATAAACTAGAAGTTGATTGAGTTGAGATTTGAGTTTATTAATGAGAACCTTGCCCAAGAATTTTGTATGTATCCGTTAGCATCCACCAGTAGCTGTGCGATGCCTGCTTGTCTCACTGTTGGTGATGCCCGGTCTGGTCCCCTGGTCAGGGCAGTGACAGCCAATTTCTCTGTTCAAAGGACCCTGAAGTGCCCTCTTCACCAGCATCCCCAGAGTTGTGTGTCACTTCAGGTGCTTAGGTCTGGGCCCTCTGCCTCCCCCAACCCTGTGCCCAGAGCACAGTCGGTCACCAGCATGGACCATGGGTTTGGATCTGGGATCAGCCAGTTAGAAACTATAATGCTGTGATTCCCGGCCTCAGTTTCTTTCTCTGAGGATAAATAGGAATATTAAGCCTTACCCTGGCCACTTTTTCCCTGCGAAGGCTCAGGTGTGATTGTGGGCAGAGACTTCCAGAGGCTCTTTGCAGATCTGTTGAGGGTTGCTGACAACATTGAGCCTGTCCTGAGAGTGGGCACAGCTGAAGGTCAATCCTCCACCCAGCCCTGCGTGGCAGTTGCTACCCTTTATTATCCCTATTTCACAGATGAGGAAACGGGCTTCTGAAATAAATAACTCACTCCCCAAGACCTCCAGCCAGGGAGTAAAGAGGAACCTGAGCAGTTTGGCACGTACTCCTCAGCTGGCAGGGGGCGCTGTTGCCTGGATGGAAGGGCCTACGCCCCCACTGTCCCCCCACAGCTGCCAGCCCCCAATTCCAGGAAGGAGGGGCTTTGCCACCTAGTGCCCAAGATCTGGCTGCCCACGCTTAGAGAGATGAAGTCATCAGCCCACATTCCCCAGTTTCTTCATGTGTAATGTGGGCATAGCTGTGACGATCACTTGGGACTGCTCTGTGAAGATTTAAAATGGATCTGCACCTATTTCAGGTGATCTTCCAGGCACTGTACCCCCTCTCCAACCTTTCCAGAAAGGCAGGGTGACCAACCGGAGCCCCTTGGGCCCAGGGAGCATTCCCAACCACCTGTATCCAGCTGTGGGCTTCACCATGTGTGTACCTCTGCCCTGCCAACCCCAATCTGTCTAAGGTGTCTGTGGCGTCTGTGTTCAGCTGGGGCTGGGAGGTCATGGGGGAGGTAGGTGTCACTG